AGAGGTGCGGCAGTCGTAGGCGGTGTCACATTTGTCCAATGTGGAAGTAGGTCGTGCCCAAGGGTTAGGCAAGCGAAGAATTCCCAAGTATTAAGATCCCAATTAGTTGCAGTGTCTGACAGGATTGTAGATGAATGGTTCAGAGAACCGACACGTTGATAAATTAGACACATGCAACTCTTGGGTATCGTTATTGAGGAAATGTTTCGCCACACAGTGGCTTTATCAGTCCATACAAAGGAGAAATTTGAAAAACAGGAGGAGAATGAGGTAATCAGTCCCTCAACCTTGAGTCGACTCAAGGTTGAGGGACTGATTACCTCATTCTCCTCCTGTTCTTCAAGTTTCTCCTTTGTATGGACTGATGAAGCCACTGTGTGGCAAAACATTTCCTCAATAAAGATACCCAAGAGTTGCATGTGTCTAATTTATCAACGTGTCGGTTCTCTGAACCATTCATCTACTACACTTAAACTCAACTTGGTAACATTTACATATTACAAAATATATGCAAATGCTTTACTAAGAGCAGAGGGAGGAACCTATTCACTTTATTATATTATTTTTTCAGCTCTACCATCAGTCAAGGTTTGAAAAACAAGATAGAGGCTAAAGATGTCTATCACCCATAAAAATGGACTACACACAATTAAACCCTTTCCTGTCTTAAACTAGTATTATATATGCATAAATTCAAACTTTCACTTACTCGTGTTGCGCTTCATCCTCCCGAGCCTTCATTTCTTCATATTGGGGTCTAATGGCTTCTAGTTCTGCCTCTTTCTGGGCAATTGTGCTTCGAAGTTTCTGTAATTCTTTCTCTGCCCTTTCCTTTGATTTGTTGTCTCCTTGAACCTCATCTGCCAAGTCTTTTATTGTGAATTCTAGTTTTGTCTTTTCTTTCAAGAGTTGCTGTTGTTCCATATTGTATGTGTCCCTCTCTTCTTTAACCTAAATACAAAGAAGCAAAATAACCTCACCTTTTGAATATACAGTAGATTTGTATGCAAGTTTGCCACATGGGCTACATAGGAAAATAAAAGCTAGATGGACTGCACATGCCTACAAGACATATGCTTCATATATGGTGCCACAAAGGCGGCTACATAGCAAACTAGAAAAAAAAAGACCAACATTAATTTGAAAAGATTATCATGGATATTGTTAAAATAATAAACAATTGTTATAAAATAGAAGTATGCAAATCCATAAAATGCTGTCAAAAGACAAGAGACTAAATGAAAGGAAGACTTTATTGGTAGTGTTTCACCCATGGGGAAAGTTTTGATCACATACATGGAAAACAGAAGAGCACTTCTTAATTCCACTCGGTGACTGCGTAAGGTGAATAAGGAAGTGGAGTATCAAAAGAATGCAAGTCTACCAGACTACACCATGCTTTAAGATTTCATTGTTCCAAGATGAAGTAGGTAATGGGTACAGCCAAGATGAACAAGCCACTATTCTGATTAATGATGTTGTATAGTGATAAATGAAGACTCCAGACATCTGCACTTTATTTCTGGAGTCTCCAACATTCAATTCATTCTTTTGCTTAGCCTGTGTTAATGTTTGTTATTTTAAGCAACCTGTTCTTATATTTATCTCACAAAAGTGACATTCTTCCTCTGTTTCCTTCTTGGTTTAATTTCTTTACAGCACAGCCAAAACACTTCTTTTCTCTCTAGTTGCCCTCGTTTAAAATTATTTACTATGCTCGGGGGTTTCCAGACAAAGCCTGAGCATGAAGAAGGGTTCATGAAGAGAAGCATACAAGGCTCCACACCTATGCCTTCAAGGCTCACTTGAGATGAGGAAGCTTCAAGGCATCCAAATGATCTGAATGTGTAAAGTATTATTATTATATATAGGGGCAAAGTGCTAAACCCATAGGGGATACACAAGGGCTTGGGGAATTTGAAGCAATCAGGTCTGATCCAAGGGAGGACTAGTACAATCCCTTGCATCAAGATCCCTTGACCAGCATCAAGAAGTCTCCCTTGAGGGATGCAGGAATTGATGCTTAGGCTGGGGAAGCCATTAATTGATGAATCCTAACTGACAGCTATCTTTAATATCAGCCCTTGATGTAATTTCCTTAGCTAATAAAACCAGTAATTCTATTTATTTTGTTCTCCGTTTACTTTGGCATAGCTATTTTCTATTTTAGCTTTATATTTGTCTAATCATTTTATCTCATTCTCATGTTAGCATTCTGTGAAATGGAGTTTGTTCTTTTTACATAGTTTACTGTTTCGCTGTTATATCAATCATATTCTTTACTAATTTTGTTCATTTCTATTCTTGAGTCCTGGAGATGGGAAGTACAGTGCCTGCACTCTGAAGGAGGGGTGTTAATGTTGCAGTTTAAAAACTGTAGTGTAAAGCACCCTTCTGGCAAGACAGTGATGGAGTGAATGATGGTGAAAGTTTTTCGTTTTCGGGCCACCCTGCCCTGGTGGGAATCGGCCAGTGTGTTAATAAAAATAATAATTTCTATTCTTTCCTTTATATGAGCTTACTGTGTTTGTTGCATAAGCTGAGAATTCATTACCTCTCTCATTTTCAAATTTTCATTTTTCATAAAAAATTTGGCCATCAGTCCTTCCTGCTTTAATTGGTTTTGTTTAAATTACGTTATTTTGTCCATCAATTCACTCAGTTTCTGTTATTGCTTGGTGTGAAAACATATCCATGATCTGACAGGGTCTTCTAAACTATTATGTAAACACTGGCTCTTTTCATATTTGTTTTACTATTTTACATCAAAACCCAGTTTTCTAAATTCATGAACCTTTTAAGCCATTATATCCTTAAATGTTAGGGGATACCATAAAATATATTCAAAATTACTTTATTCCCTTCATCACAATAGACAGAAATTTTCATTTTCACAAAGAATGAGTGGGCATGTTTACAGTATGCTTGGGTATGCATGTAAAATTATATGTTTTTAGAAGGGGACCTCATGCTTACTGTCACACCATGAAGTTAGGGCATTATAAATCAATGAAAACAAATACATTTTAACATTAACAGGACAGATAAAACTCACAAACAGGTAATATAAGAACAGCATTCAGAAAGCTAATATGTAAAAACTAACCTGTGACAGTTTGGACTTAACATCTTTCATTTCTTTAGACAGCGTCTTAATGGACTCCTGAGACTTCTGAAGCTGTTGCCTATACTGCTCTTGTTCTGCTCCAGAATTTTTCCGCTGGTTCTCCATCTGAGACAAATATATATTTCCTACAGTTGAACTAAAGCACCTAAAACTTTTAAAATAGACAAACTGTAGTGCTAATCTAAACATATTTTTGTTTCATCTCAGGATACTGCTAGCTTGAAAGGTTTTATGTAATATATCCATGCATTTTAATAGCTAAGTACTGACAATATTGCAAATATAAAAGGAGCTGAAGACCATCACAGTATATTTCAGTTTCCAAGTTGCACATGATCACTTAAAATTAACTGTAGTAGAGAATATACAAGTCTTAAAATTCATCCATCACCTACAAGACACCTTTACTGTGCAAGACACTGTCATTTACTCACGTCAGTCAACTTCTTTCTAGTCTCTTTGAGCTCCCGGTCATGAATTGTATATTCCAGTGCTCTACGCATCTTGTCATACTTTTGATACTCTTTCAGTTCTTCTTTCTCTTCTTCCAGTGTCTGCAATCTGTCCTCAATAGTCCGAAGAAACTCTTCAATTTTTTCTCGCTTACTTTGCGTTTCTGCAGAAAAAAATCATTTAAATGTCATAAATTCCTTGCTTTTATAGTAAAATATGTACTGCACATATTACTAATAAAATCCACATTACTAAAGACAACAAATAATAGGGAATATATTATTCCTTACTTTCATATCCTCAGAAACAAAATAAAACTGAGAAGTGCATACACTAATATTGAAGAACTTTAAATGAAAATGAATAATGCTAACTGCTACTCTCATGCTAACTCAATGTTCTAGTTACTCAAACCTGCAAAAATTTGGAATAGTATCATAGCTATTTACAGTAAGCACCAGTGTGTGGCATGTCCCTCCTCAATCAACTCAAAGACATTATTGGCCCCTCAAGCATTAATCATAAAACATATAGACAATTTGCATGTGCATTGCAGCGAACTCTAAGAAACCCCACATTATTGGTTTAGCCAAAGCCAGTGCCAGGAATCAAATACACATGAGGGAGTGTAAGTACTGCATCTCCACTCACATTGCTAGATGAATAAGTGTAGTAGGTGTAAGGAGCTTCCCCAAACATCTTACCATGACTTGTTAGATCACTAAATAGTCAACACTACTTTGCCTTACCTATAATGAAACACTAATTCTGTGAACAATAAATGAATAGGTTTACACAAAAAAATAACTTGATGTGTTGGGGCAGAGAAGTATATGTATGAGGATGTAGTAAGTGCTACAACCCTTCAAAAGTTTGCAAAAATTATACAATGAACACATGACTGAAGATGGGACACCATGAGCATAGCTCTGTTCATGTAGCTACAAACATGTAATTACATCATTGTAAATGGCAGGTGGATGCTAGGGTTAATTTGCTTCTGTGCACTGGGTATTCTCATTCAACAGTTGATACAGGTGTTCTATATAATTTAAGCTTCATGTGTAATGAAAATTTTGGAAAACGAGAAGTCTTGTGTACATGATTAACACATGAAACATGTCAGTCCAGTATGCTCAGGCACAAGATGGGGTGAATGCAGCTGCTGAGCAATACCATCTCGCTCTACATAGGGGCAGAATGAAAAACTGCCCAAATTTTGCATATTATTAGTGTATTTGAAAATTTATGCAGCTTAATATGAAAAATATCCCCACATTGCTTAATTTTTTGTTTCATTGTTTTTAGAATGGGCAACAATAAAACAAAGCAAAATATGGACATACAAAATGAGTTTACAAAATGAGTATTGAATAATTCCATACTAGCCTTTACCAATCAATGCAAATTAAACTTTACAGTGTTTACCTTTAAGAATGACTTTAGACTCTTCTCTTCTTTCATCATACACACGTGTTCCAGCGACTTCCCTTAAAAGTTTTAACCTTTGGGAGTCAGGAGCAGTGGCCATTTGGTTAATTTTGCCCTGAAACAACACAAAAAATATAAGGCATTTTAAAACTTCCTTTTCTTTTATTTTTTGTTCAATGTACATAACCATGACTGACATCAGTAAATAACATTCAATTACCTGCTTGACAATGTAATAGGGGTTTGAACGTGAGAACCCTGCAGATTCTAAGAGGTTCATCACGTCGAGCTTAGTAACTGCTTTTCTGTTGAGAAAGTATTGATCTTTTTTTGCACCAATAACACGGCGCAGGCACACCTCATTCTTATCAATCTGAAAAATAAAAAATATAATATGTCTTTAGGTTAATTTTAATTGGCTTGGCAAGCAAACAAATTTGGATCTCCACTTAAAAAAAAAAATCTTACACCAATACTCACAGGTATCCTGCCATCAGCATTATCAAAGATGATCTCCACAAAAGCAGAAATAACTCTGGGGCCAGTACCCTCATGGAGGAGGGCCTGTCGCTGCTCTGCTCGAAGATGGTTGAATTCATCACTTAATACAAACTGGATAGCTGAGAAAAAATGAAAAATAACATGCATCAAAATACTAATCTGTAATTATAGTGTTTATTTTTTTATGGAAAAGTGTATTTACTTCTATTTGTAGCCCATTTGAATTTGTGTAGTTGCACGAGGATGAATCAAATGCATGTTACCTATGAGCAACCAACTGTTTATTCTTTGCTTGTGCACCAAAAAAAAAAAAAGGGGGGTATTCTTTCCTATTACTGTTACAATTTGTTTTACACTACAATACCATAAAAGAAAAGATAAAAGTTTACAGAAGCCAAAGAGTAAAGTACCCTGAAACCCCTGAAGCAACAAACCTGAATGCCACAAATCCCGAGCAACATGAGATAGATATGACATTAAGAATGTCACGAGTGGTGGTGTGTTGTTTGTTGTTGGGTGTATAAGGGCCACTGAAAGATAAGCCTTACATAGCGGTGGTGAAGGCGGTACCAGAGGCAGCAGTGTTAATCAGTAACCCTATATACCTCCAACAACAATGGAGGAGTCAGTTTCGTGCTGTCTTTTTTCTATCGATTAACCATTTAGCTTACGTGCTACACTGTTAATGCTACACTTTATCGCTGGCTGGCGCTACAGCCTTTATCGACTCCTGCTGCTTTAGTATCGTACATATTGCAGAATCACTGAAAAAAGCACATTCTCCCCTCTCTCTCAGCCCTTTACCAAAGGGCTGGCTTGCACTAGAAGCTTTCTTTATGCCCATGGTGGCTTATTTAGCAGTTACAAGCATTAAAAAAGAATGGAATAATACAAAATGTATTGCACGAACATGTGGGATCGTCCTCACTGGCTGGTAAATAATGGCACACTGGCTGTAGTGTGTCTGGGCTGCTCAGGCTACGGGGGTACATTCTGGACGAATGACGTGTACCAAGTTCAATGACGATCACCGAGCCAATATTTTGACGAAAAATTGTTACTTATTCTGAATATTAAGTATTCTGATGACAACTTAATCCGGGGGTCCACTGTACATATAAAATACGCAATAACATTAAAAACACTTCAAATCTTGGAGTTTCCAGACATAACGGAGAGACATGGAGCTCATGAAGGATGTAAACAAACAGTGGCACCCGGACTCTGTATTAGCAAGTCAGGTGCGGAAGGAACCACAAACGAGTTTCGGTCGTAATTTGAAATCTGTATTAGCAAAATGCCGTAAAGCGGGGTCCTACTGTACACAGAAGCTACATAAAGACTAACCAAGAATTAAAGTACTGACATCATAGGCCAAAAACTAGCAGCTTCATTCCATACACTGGAGATAATCTACATATGTTCATAGCCTAGTACACCATACACTTCAACAAGCCAAAGAGTGCTCTGTATTAAAACAACTTTGTATGATAAAGGTAAAACTGCTTGTAACTAAACTTTCCAATTTATACCCATCTTATGCATTTCAAAAAATTTAATTTTTCAGAGCAGCAGAACTGGTGTCATAATTTATATCAAAAACAAAACTAACAATAAAGATCAACTTACCATAGAAGAAGTTACTCTTGCCAGAGCCATTTCGACCAACTGGAATGAAAAGATACCATGTAAAACAATTCAAGAAACAAGGCAAAAAAAATTAGTAAAACTGTTTACATAGGATCCAAATTAATATACTTTAAATAATTAGTTTTCAAAATTACAGGAACCACTGGTAAAAATACATACCAACTACATTGTGTCGTGGGTCAAAAGGATCTATGACAGTCTGCTCTCGATAACTCTTAAACCCTTGAATAATAATCTGAAAGGGAATAAAATCATGCATTACAACAATATACAGGGATATAATGACTCACACCTAAACACCAATCACTAAGATATGAATAACATAATAAAAAATACACTGAGCTGACTGAAGCTTAGCCCTCCTCTCCTCCTCCCTAGATAAAATACTTAACTAGTTACATGAAGTCTTGCATAAACTAGGTAAATTAAGTTACTACCAAGCTATGCATATCAGGCAAAAATAGGTATTGCATATGCAAAAAATATACATTTTGGCATGAGTGGTATATCAAGAGAAAAAGTCTGTGTTTTCATTTTGTGAAACATGGCAAATTACAGTAAGAGTATACAGAGGCATCAAACAAATTGCCATTTACATATCTACTGCTAGTGGAATAAAGTTATGTTAAATTATTTCAGGTTGGGTTTCCTGAGGTTACATTACATTTTTTACCACTTTCACAAAGTAAAACTACTGACTGCCCAATGCATAACCTACCTAATATTGGACATTTTTAACTCTTAAACTGTCCAAACGTAGATCTGTGTTCACGTGCTTAGCGCTCCGACCTTTATTTTCCCCACTTGAAAGCATGTAAAAAAAAAGTAGATCTATGTTCGGAGCCCCCCGCACGTGAACGTTGATCTACGTTTGGACAGTTTAAGGAAGGATGCATCATCACTAATGTGTAAACAGTACTAAAAAAAAAAAAGCAATAAGAGCCATCAAATGACTTATAATATGAACCTATTTGAAGTTACAAATTGTTTCAGAAAAAACACGAAAGCAAACACCAGGACATATTTATTAGAAAACGTTTCGGTCCTGGGACCTTGATCAGAAGTGATCAAAGTCGCAAAACCAAAACATTTTCCAATAATTATGTCCTAGTGCTTATTACCTGGAGTTTACCTGGAGAGAGTTTCGGGGGTCAACGCCCCCGCGGCCCGGTCTGTGACCAGGCCTCCTGGTGGATCAGCGCCTGATCAACCAGGCTGTTGCTGCTGGCTGCACGCAAACCAACGTACGAGCCACAGCCCGGCTGATCAGGAACTGACTTTAGGTGCTTGTCCAGTGCCAGCTTATTACGTGTTTTTTCTAAACCAACTTGTCAGTATTTATTACCAAGGTTTATACCACAAACTGTTGAACATATCTGATGGTAACTGATCAAATTCCTGGGACAGAACCCCATCAACATTACACATTTGCCACAACATCCACTTCCATAACACAGAAAACACTTATCCATTGTAAAAATTGTTATTTATTGACACACTGACTGTAACAAAACAGTAATAATGATGATAATCATAATGACACAACCCAGTGGCAGTTGGTCACTGATCAGAGCCTCACCAACACTCCATCATTTAACCTAAACCAGCCTAGCCTAATTAACCGAAAATATTGACTGAAGTAGTGGCTAAAAACAGTGGATGGTTGCTCACGAGTCGGTGATAGTGAGGCAATAAACAACACTGCAGTCACCCACAGCTCTTGTTTCATTGTGTATTATTATTCGTTACCAAGGCTAATATATTGATAAATAACAATTTCCACAATAATTGAACTGTTTCCTTTGTTATAGATATGTTGTGAACATGTAATGCTGACAGGGTTGTGTTCTGGGAATTTTATTAATAATGACCTGCTTGATTTTTAAAAATTATTTCTGGTGACCCTACCGAAATATTGATTAGTAATGACTTTATTAGTCATTTATTATTGACATTAATTATATTTAATAAAAATAATACATTGAAATGTGCCAAACCCATATGGGTCATATTGTTTAATAAGAATAGTAATGATTATATTCGTATGCTAAACAATGACTAACCTTTGATACAAAATTGACTGATGACCGAAGTCCTAATCAGTGACACTTACAATATGAAGAGCTATATAACTGCCTAAACACCAGCAAAATTACTGACAATTTGTTAGGCAAAAAGACACAAGAGCAAGTTGTGTAAGTTTATTTAGGCACAAATACATATAAGTACAATTACCATACATATTACCTAGGATAACCCAAAAAAAAAAAAAACTCTGTGATTTATTTCCAGTGGGATCCTTGAAGTCATTACAGCCACACCTCGATCTCCAGCTTAAACCTGCCACTAGTACTTAATATTACTACCACCGTCTCCCTACTTTGGACCTGTCTCCTGGTCTGCTCTTCTCTGGCTTAGCTGACTTAAATTAACAATGGCTCAAGATGGACAGTAACCTCGTTGTTTCATCTAAGTACGAGCTATTTATGAATTATCAAGCTAATACACATGACACACATGGTATATTAAGGGAACAGTAATAAATAACACATTGTCTCATTAGTTACTAGTCATATAAGTATTATATAGTTCAAGATAAAACTGGTTATATAAGACCTGGCCTAGATGCCACCCCACTACTGTGGAGAGCTTAACTCCATTATAAACAAAGTATACTAACTTGTCTGATATACATGTCGACTTCCCTCTCTCTTGGTGATCATATTTCACAGGGGCGGACCAAACAACCACAAAATACTACGTAATTAACAACATTGTACGAGAGTGCCGACAGCAACCACCGCTGCTGTGAACGCGGAAAATGGCGGTAAAGTATTATAAGGTGAGAGAAGCGTGTGGCAGCCCAGGTCTCACAGAACAAGTGAGGGTCTAACATTACTCTCAGAGAGTATTCTCAACACAAATGAAAACATTTCCTAAAAGTTGAACGCATTCTTTACTTTGATTTACACTCAAACAAATATTTATTGATCAATAAGGCATCTTCCTTTTTCAGACATTTTGAGAACGCTTCTTTGCATTAACTTGAAGCTTATAATGTTGTAAACGCTCATAAAACGATGCTTCATATAGCTGTTTCACTGTAGCTTCCATGGCGGCTGTTTGGAGAGCCACGTGTTTATGAGATGGGTAGAGAGACTTGTATTGATCGTCATCTTGGTGTTTTACGCAGGACAAAGTACTGTAGGTTGAACCTGTGACCAGAGGTCAAACTGTTTATGAAGATTAAGACACATGTACAACACCTGGCTATCTTTATTAATGAAACGTTTCGCCTACACAGTAGGCTTCTTCAGTCAAATACAAAGGGAGCAGTAGAAATAAGATGCAATCAGTCCATCCTGAATAAATTTACTTACTTACTTACTTACTTTTCCCTCAGACTAGAAAAGAGTTAGTTTCATGGAGCTGAAATCCGACTTAACGTTACTTGCCCTTGCTCCTGCAGCGGTGCCCCTCAAGGAAGGTTCCTTGATGTTGGTGAGGGGCTCTTGATTTAGGAAATTGGATCTGTGCTCCAGTTCCCCGAATTAAGCCTGAATGCCTTCTACATCCCCCCCCCCAAACGCTGTATAATCCTCCGGGTTTAGCGCTTCCCCCTTGATTATAATAATAATAATAATCATCCAGCGGTGGTTGTAGGAATAGCGCGTCTTTATTTACATTTTTGCATTCATTGTGTCTTTGTTTGCTTTCCATATACATTTGCATTTGATGCGCCTTAACACTGGACGAGCCTTACATTTGACGCATTTTTGTTTACATTTGACGCGGTTTAGTTTACAGTTGACTCTTCTTTGTTTACATTGTATGCGTCTTTGAATACATTCGATGCACATTTATTTATTTTTGACGCATCTTTGTTTATGTTGTCTTTGCATACCTGGAGTTTACCTGGAGAGAGTTCCGGGGGTCAACGCCCCCGCGGCCCGGTCTGTGACCAGGCCTCCTGGTGGATCAGAGCCTGATCAACCAGGCTGTTGCTGCTGGCTGCACGCAAACCAACGTACGAGCCACAGCCCGGCTGGTCAGGAACCGACTTTAGGTGCTTGTCCAGTGCCAGCTTGAAGACTGCCAGGGGTCTGTTGGTAATCCCCCTTACATATGCTGGGAGGCAGTTGAACAGTCTCGGGCCCCTGATACTTATTGTATGGTCTCTTAACGTGCTAGTGACACCCCTGCTTTTCATTAGGGGGATGTTGCATCGTCTGCCAAGTCTTTTGCTTTCGTAGTGAGTGATTTTCGTGTGCAAGTTCGGTACTAGTCCCTCTAGGATTTTCCAGGTGTATATAATCATGTATCTCTCCCTCCTGCGTTCCAGGGAATACAGGTTCAGGAACTTCAAGCGCTCCCAGTAATTGAGGTGTTTTATCTCCGTTATGCGTGCCGTGAAGGTTCTCTGTACATTTTCTAGGTCAGCAATTTCACCTGCCTTGAAAGGTGCTGTTAGTGTGCAGCAATATTCCAGCCTAGATAGAACAAGTGACCTGAAGAGTGTCATGGGCTTGGCCTCCCTAGTTTTGAAGGTTCTCATTATCCATCCTGTCATTTTTCTAGCAGATGCGATTGATACAATGTTATGGTCCTTGAAGGTGAGATCCTCCGACATGATCACTCCCAGGTCTTTGACGTTGGTGTTTCGCTCTATTTTGTGGCCAGAATTTGTTTTGTATTCTGATGAAGATTTAATTTCCTCGTGTTTACCATATCTGAGTAATTGAAATTTCTCATCGTTGTTGAACTTCATATTGTTTTCTGCAGCCCACTGAAAGATTTGGTTGATGTCCGCCTGGAGCATTGCAGTGTCTGCTATGGAAGACACTGTCATGCAGATTCGGGTGTCATCTGCAAAGGAAGAGACGGTGCTGTGGCTGACATCCTTGTCTATGTCAGATATGAGGATGAGGAACAAGATGGGAGCGAGTACTGTGCCTTGTGGAACAGAGCTTTTCACAAGGCACAGTGTCATGTAGGGGGGTATTAGAATGCATCGGATATAAGTGGGGAATATGGGAGTAATCGGAGGGAGTAGACAGGAGAGTCTGAGTAGAGTGATTAGCGGCCAGCGGTAGGTAGGTAATGTGACAGGAGAGGTGAGCGGTAGGTAGGTAATGTGAGGTCACTGGTGACTACAACTTCACCTCTCATTACTCTACCCACCACTCCACACTACTCACCCTCTCACTACTTTAACTAAACATAAATAAATGGAGAAAATAACGGGGACAGTGAATATTACTATTCTACTCAAACACAGTTTATTATTAAGTCTTTGTACAATAATATATTTGGGAACAGGAGAACATTATTGTGGTTTAGATAAATGGGATGGTATGTATAAGCAGTGAGACAGGGAACACAATCAACTTGACGAGAATGAATATAACTTACAATATAGTACAGAGGACAGTTCACTACAGGAACTAAGCCACAGGTCCCAAGACCTACACAGCACGAGTACTGCGCCAAGCCAGTACTCTGCCTAATGCCTCCAACAGTCTCCTCCAGAGACTTCAGCAGCCTTCTCCCGAGCCCTGCTCCCCAGCAGCAGCTCCGCTCGAAGTCTCTGCTCAGGAGCTCTGCACCCCAGCAGCAGCTCCGCTCGAATCTCTGCTCAGGAGCTCTGCACCCCAGCAGCAGCTCTGCTCGAATCTCCTCTGCTCAGCTGTTCCTTGGACTTATATCGTGGTCCATGCACCCTCCACAACCACGGGTACGACCTGACGCCTAGATCTGACGCCGTCAAGAACAAAAGACCTCAGACGTGGGCGTGGCTACAGACGTTTGCCAAGGCAAGGTGTGACCATATAATTGGTTAAATTAGGTCTCCCCAGAGACCTCACAAGCCCAGCTGAACTACATCACAACAGTACTCGCTCCCATGCGTATCTTTTTACATTTTATTAATCTTTGTTCATATTTGACGCATGTTTTAACGTTGGATACGTCTCTGTTTACACTGGATGCGTTCTTGCTTACATTAGATGCATTTGTTTACATTGGATGCATCTATTTACATTGAATGCGTCTGTTTACAATGGATGCGTCTGCTTACATTGGATGCGTCTTTTTACATTGGATGCGTATGTTTACATTGGATGCGTCTGCGTACATTGGATGCGTCTCTGTTTACAATGGATGCGTCTGCTTACAATGGATGCGTCTGTTTACATTGGATGCGTCTATTTACACTTGATGCGTCTATTTGCATTGGCTGCGTCTTTGTTTACATTGGATGCGTCTCTGTTTACATTGGGTGCGTCTCTGGAGTTTACCTGGAGAGAGTTTCGGGGGTCAACGCCCCCGCGGCCCGGTCTGTGACCAGGCCTCCTGGTGGATCAGCGCCTGATCAACCAGGCTGTTGCTGCTGGCTGCACGCAAACCAACGTACGAGCCACAGCCCGGCTGATCAGGAACTGACTTTAGGTGCTTGTCCAGTGCCAGCTTGAAGACTGCCAGGGGTCTGTTGGTAATCCCCCTTATGTGTGCTGGGAGGCAGTTGAACAGTCTCGGGCCCCTGACACTTATTGTATGGTCTCTTAACGTGCTAGTGACACCCCTGCTTTTCATTGGGGGGATGGTGCATCGTCTGCCAAGTCTTTTGCTTTCGTAGTGAGTGATTTTCGTGTGCAAGTTCGGTACTAGTCCCTCTAGGATTTTCCAGGTGTATATAATCATGTATCTCTCCCTCCTGCGTTCCAGGGAATACAGGTTTAGAAACCTCAAGCGCTCCCAGTAATTGAGGTGTTTTATCTCCGTTATGCGCGCCGTGAAAGTTCTCTGTACATTTTCTAGGTCGGCAATTTCACCTGCCTTGAAAGGTGCTGTTAGAGTGCAGCAATATGTCTCTGTTTACATTGGGTGCGTCTCTTTGCATTGGATGTGTCTTTACATTGGATGTGTCTATTTGCATTGGCTGCGTCTTTGTTTACACTGGATGTGTGTCTGTTTACATTAGATGCGTCTGTTTACAGTGGCTGCGTCTTTGTTTACATTGGATGCGTCTCTTTTTACATTGGATACGTCTCTATTTACACTGGTTGCGTCGTTATTTACACTGGCTGCTGGCACTGGACAAGCACCTAAAGTCGGTACCTGACCAGCCGGGCTGTGGCTCGTACGTTGGTTTGCGTGCAGCCAGCAGTAACAGGTTTACCTGGAGTTTACCTGGAGAGAGTTTCGGGGGTCAACGCCCCCGCGGCCCGGTCTGTGACCAGGCCTCCTGGTGGATCAGCGCCTGATCAACCAGGCTGTTGCTGCTGGCTGCACGCAAACCAACGTACGAGCCACAGCCCGGCTGATCAGGAACTGACTTTAGGTGCTTGTCCAGTGCCAGCTTGAAGACTGCCAGGGGTCTGTTGGTAATCCCCCTTATGTGTGCTGGGAGGCAGTTGAACAGTCTCGGGCCCCTGACACTTATTGTATGGTCTCTTAACGTGCTAGTGACACCCCTGCTTTTCATTGGGGGGATGGTGCATCGTCTGCCAAGTCTTTTGCTTTCGTAGTGAGTGATTTTCGTGTGCAAGTTCGGTACTAGTCCCTCTAGGATTTTCCAGGTGTATATAATCATGTATCTCTCCCTCCTGCGTTCCAGGGAATACAGGTTTAGAAACCTCAAGCGCTCCCAGTAATTGAGGTGTTTTATTTCCGTTATGCGCGCCGTGAAAGTTCTCTGTACATTTTCTAGGTCGGCAATTTCACCTGCCTTGAAAGGTGCTGTTAGAGTGCAGCAATATTCCAGCCTAGATAGAACAAGTGACCTGAAGAGTGTCATCATGGGCTTGGCCTCCCTAGTTTTGAAGGTTCTCATTATCCAT